AAATATTTTTCTAGTAATTGAAGGAACTCCTCAGAGAGACTGTGGAAGTTCTGGAGTATTCCTGAGGTAGACATAGAAATACTAAATAACTTGCTTAATGTTGGAACAAGAGTGTGCAATATCTACACTGATTAAAATTGCAAAGCAGCCCAATGAGAACTTGGTGTTCTCTGGTACTCTAGGTCTCACAGAAAACATGTTGCTCAATATAAATTTTACTAAGGACCAATAGCTCAAAAAGAACTGAGTAGAATTAACTGGTATTTCCCTTTGAGATAAATAAACTGAGACCTCAGGCTCATAAACAAATGCAAACAACTTGTATATACAACTCAGTCTTATAATCCTGCATCATACAATGAAAATATTTTCCAGGTTTAAATGCAGAAATTACAGGCAGATCAGAAAAGGTTTGATTAAAGTAATTCAGGCCAGAGTATCAAGACTTGCTGAATTATAAAAAGTTATCTTTCCTAGGCTGATTTCAGCTACATGTCCTGAAACTAGTTATCCTCAAGGAGGGGAGGGGACACAGCACGATGACGATGGGGACGACGGACACCAAACCAAACCAAAAAAAACCTGCAAAGAAACAACTATAAACATTGAGACACATTCATGTTTTTCGCTCTGTGAAGGTTAATGGAGTTACAATGAATGTAAAGAAAGGCCATTATATTAATAACTAAAATCTACAGCAATAATGAAATACTGAACGTGAGCTTTAGCTCAGAGGTGACACAGGCATTGCATAGGGAGATATACAGAGACAGAGCTTCTACTCAGGTAATGAGCTGCAACAGCTTATACCAGCTGAGGATCTATTCCAAATGCTTAAAGGAAGCTGCTTCCATCACTAAAACCAATTATTAGGGTTGTGTGCTCTGCAGCTTTTTTTAGTAGGTTACAGTTTCTTCTGCCAAGCTAGGAAGCTATGCTATGAGCAGCTGGTACTCCCAGGACTAACAGCTCCACCACAATTTTATCCTCTGATAGTCAAGCCTCTGATGCCTACGTTTGCAATACAGAACCACAGAGGGTAAGTATGGCAAGTTTCTCCCCCGTGCCTACAGAGACTTACCCACTAGCTTCACAAAATGACCTTTGTTACAATGGGATTTACACTGGTGTCCTTGGAAGCAGCAGATGGTCAGGATGAGCTGCTGCCATCAGCATTTTTCCTTTAGTCTGTGAAATTATTCACAGCCCCCCTCAACAGTGGAGGCATTTTCTCAGCTTAAGAGCAAAAGCACACTAGTTAAAAGATGGGGCAAAACAACAAGTCAAGCAGTAGTGTCTTTAAAAGACACTAAAATGGGTTGGATTTTGTGGTTATATAAGAGTAAAAAACCACTCTCTCGATGTGATGTATGAATTAAATGCTGTACCTTATCATCAGGAAATATGAACACACTTCCTTCAATTATTTCCTCTTGCAAATCATTCCCTGTAGGTCTCAAAGGAAACAACAGATGAACCCAAAACAAGTTTTCATTTCTTTGCTGGCCTGTTCAAAGAAAATGCAACACTCTGGTTTGTTTTTATAAAACACCTCACTGTTTCGACAAAATTTCTTGCTCATTTGAAGTACTTTACGAACAGGCTGGTATCATTATCTCTACCTGTAGAATGAGGAAATGAGAAGAAAAGCAAGGGCATCTTCAGAGTTGTACCCAGGTCTCCTTCTGAGTCATTGTATTATGCCACACTGCTAAGTCTCCCCCACAATATAAACCCAGCAAGCATATTAACCTGTGGTAGAGCCTTCTGTCCATTGAGTGGTATCTTATACTGTAGGTATAGAGGGAGAAAAACTTGTTAGAGATGTATGCGTATTCAACTGAGAAATCTTTGACACTTCTGATAAATTTTCCAACTGATTTATGTACTGCCAATGTGTTTCTCATATGTGTAAAATATTTACAATCTTGGTCCTGTAATGGGACTCTTTTCCCTCCAATAATTTGAGCAGGCTGAAGGGTTGACACTCTTGGCTTGAATTGTTGGCTCATGTATTACTTATGTTGTTTTTAATTGCAACGTATTCTTCCCTGGAATGACATGCTTGTGTCAACACAAAACAGGCTCAGTGCAAGATTCACAATGGAATTTGAAACACTCTGTAGTGCAGAAACATTGGAATCCATGAGCTTGGTTTCAAATCCTTCCAGAGAGATGCTTTCTGAGAAGTCTGCATCTGGTTTTCTAATCCCACTCAAGTTTGAGAGTATTCAGATCAAGCTTTACATTAAGCCCTTTCCCTAACAAGCAGGGCCAAGACAAACGAAGTTACATTTGCCAACATATCCCTAGAGAGCACAATGTATCTCTGCTGTAAAATCCTCCTGCCATTTTTTGCAAAGCTGGTAGGGATGGTGTCAGTTTTAACCTTAAAGGGAAACTGAAAACAAATCTTTTAAGTTTACAACCATTTAAAATACAAACAGCTTGGCAAAGCAGCCATTCAAGACAATTTCTCCTCAAATAACAAGACAGTCAAGGCTGACTGCAATTAAAGGTACAGGCTGAAAAAGTAAATTTGATTTACAGAGTGCATAGAAAATGGCTTGAAGACTTTGGTACTGAGGGAATTTTGGAACCATACAAGAAGAAAATCATCCTAAACTATGTTATAAAGACTTCTTGGTTATCCTTTTAAAACAATTCTAAAAAAAGGCGGGTTTGCTTCCACAGAATTCTGTTAGTTTCATCTTTATTAAATACAGTGGGACATCTCCCATAAGCATAGTAAAAAACTATATTAAGCCCGAAGTCAAGTGATGTTCTTTTCTCAGCCATGGGAGAAATTTTTCAGTCCAGTAACTGCAACTTCAGAGTGAAATAAAAAAAAAAAATTAGAAACTAATCAAGGCCATGAATCAGTCTCACTGGGGAACAACAGGGCTATGCAGAACACGGATCTAAATTGCTGTCAACGTTAGAAATCCAGCCCGGGGATCTGACACTTGCTGATGAAAGTTGGTGCCAGACGAGAATAGGCTGCGCAGGGTACACAATTGTTTGCTGCCCTCTGCAGGGTCGCGTTCAGCATTGCCATCCACAGCTGAAGCCTGGGAAGTGATAAACAGGCTCGCAAAATAGTCTGTGCTTTTTCAGAGGAACTTTTACAATTTCCTGGGGTATTGTTACCTCAACAGTAATCTGTATTCCATTTATATTTATTAATATTGCATTTATAAATGCAAATCAACAATGTTACTCCAGTTGATGAGTCAGTTACAGTTACTGCTCATAGTTTCATTCCTGTTTTCTCAGTCAGAGAAAGAAGCCACTTATATATCCAAAACTGATAAGCTGGGCATAGTCAGTTCTCACTTCTATTCCACAGAATCAAATACATGTTCTAACTAATGCAGGACTCAGAGCAGCACTTTCTCTCTGATACACAGCAGTCCAGAGAACAAAAAAAGCACCCCAATGCCTTAGAGAGCACAGCTAGGGCTTTCTGGCCGTGCTGGGAAGGGAGTCGGTTAGACTGTGTATGTATGCGTTCTGGCAGCATGCCAAAGTTAAGTTTTGATGGAAATACTAATCCCTAGATCACACTATCACATAGAAATAAAAGAACAGGCCCTCTTTCTTGCAACTTCACCACCAGGTTTCTACTCTTACTTCGATTGCTTGCTAGGTACCGAGATGTAACCAGGAACCAAAAGGTACCATTAGAAGAGACTCTTGTCCTCCTCTGCTCTCAAGGAAAAGATTAAGCAAGTATCACAGTGTCATGCGCTTCCTCCTTCCAAACTACTGCGTAAATTATTTCAGTTTCATACAGTGGATGATAAAAAAAAAAGTCTTCCAGTAGTAACTGTTAACTCCTTGCCTGAAAATACACAAACATGGGTACTGTGCTCCAGTATCACTCAAAGTGTGACACAGACGTCAAAAAGTTCTTGAGAAATGAGTGATTAGTGAGTGTTAGTAGAAGATTATTTTTACTCAAGTGACCAGAGGATTCGATCCACTTATATACTTCGTTAGAGAACACTTCCTTTAACTCCAAAGCAAAGGCAAGGATATGGTTCTTGTTCCAGCTATTCTCTTAGAGACTTTACAGAGGTGTTTTGTATTCCCATTTCATTTGCCACAACACAAACAACAATAAAACAAACCTACCAGCAGTATCAGGAACCTTAATTCACTACTGTTTGCAGGACACACAAATTATATAGTACAAGACACTATATAAGCATAGATATTTTCTTCATCATTACACATCTGGTGTCACATGAGAATGTTACAAAGACAACTGTGAGACTGGGGGATAATATGCCCATATACAAGAAGGTCTGATGTGGAGAAACCTTTGCTGGGAGGCAGTCTTAAGCACCCAGCATTCCTACTGGATGCAGGAAGCCCTAGTATATGTCCACATGTGCATTTGCAAAACGTGTATCACATATTTATAATTCCTTCATACTGAAACACATAAAAATAAAACCAAAATGACTCATTCTCTATTTGTCATGGCTGATTTTGTCAAACCAGTATTAGATATGGAATCACAAACTGCAACATAGTAATACAACAGAGAAGTTGTTGGAAGGAGGAAGAGTTTTTAAAGCTATCCGAACCAATTTGACAGCATCAAATGAAGCGGAAAGAAAATTACAAGTTACATCGACACACAAGGATCATCATGTCAAAACTGGCAAAGCTTGGCAAACAAGCTGAAGTTTAGAAATTAAACACTTCCTCTCAAGCAATTCATTAGCAACAACATAGGTCTATATAATACAAACAAAAAGTCCAGAAATGCACTGACACCTTACAGCTAGCACCCGCATTCTTTTTTCCAGAGGTCAAGCATGGTCCATTTATAAACAGCTCAGAAGGAGCCTAAGCAAAACTTTGGAGATGGTGCAGCATTCCAGCCTTATGCAGAACTCTGCAAGCAAGCCAAAGGGTTTGACATGACTCAATCGGTGAAGAACATAATCCAACTCAGAAACCAAACTTAGCTCTGACCAGGGTCAACCTCATTCATCAGCGTCATCAAACTGGCCAGTCTCAGTCATTCTAACGGGTGGCGTAAAAGCAAGGCAAGCTGCATGGTGACAGCCTGGGTTGTAAAACGAATCTTCTCGCCACGAGTATGAGGCCAAAAGATTATTTTCCTGAAAGCTTCCACAGTGGAAATCGCCAGCATCTAAAGAAGATCAAAGAAAAGATTTAAACCATCGGAGATACTTAGAAAAACTAGTGGTATAATGTAGATTATTTTGCAGGTCTACAGCATCTTCCAGTTAAGTATTTCAATTTGATCTGCCAGCACTCATGAATTAGACCAACAAAGAAAACAGAAAGCTGAATTTGGCAACATCTTCATTTTAAGGAAGGTTCTTGCCACCAAGACAAAACAGTTTTCCAAAACCCTCAATGATATATATACCTGGGTTCAGAACATCTGACACCAGTCTTACAATGCATGCAGTTCTTCTACATTCTCTCTAGGCATAAAAGGCTCATGAAACCATCACTTTTATTTCCCTTCCCCCTCCCCACTGCCTCCATAACCACATCCCAATTAGGCACCCTCCAAACCCTTTAAGAACTGGGTCACTAGGCAGAATGGAAGGGTAAGGTCCTGTAAAAGCTAGCTCTGAACATTTCTACTAGGCTAGAATTAAGCCTAATAAGCCTGTTATTTAACCAATCTAGCACAAAAATAGGGCAAAGTCCTTTAACAGAAGCAAAAGATTGCTAGCCAGCAGACATTGAAAGGACTGAGCAAATGAAAAGCCCAGAATACAGGGCAGCAGAGGACCCCAACACAGTACATCCACATGTCAGCCTTGCCGTAGCACTGCCAAACAAGCCTTCAAAGCAAGCATTTTTAAAACATTTTTTAAAAGCCATAAAATGACCGACCAAGCATGTTTTTTTATCTGTAGCAGTTAACAACTCAGACACTTGTACTCAGTATCCTTCACAAGCACCTGAATCCCATAACAACAGCTTCCTTAGTTTGTGAGGATTTGAAGAGCATAAGCTACAGATAGGAATGAGTTAGTTAAATAAAGGAAAAGAACTTGTGACAGTTCCATTAAAAAAAAAAAAAAAAAAGGGCAAAACACTCCATAATGAACAGATGAGAAATTAAAAGGAAAGCCCAGGATGGAAGAGAGGGAAACATCCAAAAAGGAAACAATCTTTTTCTCAGATTATCCAGTGTGAAAAGCCACTACTGTATTTCCTTTTTAAAATCAGAATTATTTTATAGGAAGTCTGCAAAAACTTTCCCACTTCCTTCTGTTATCAAACAATGGAACTTGAATACAACAGCCATTTATGGAAGTAAAGTAAACAGAGAATTGATATTTTCTAAGCAAAGAAAGGAGTGTTTGTGTTAATAACAAAAGATACACATTAATGAGATGAAAATGGAAATGGTACTATTCTGTGTCAACAAAGACACAGCAGGTCACCACTGCTGGCTAAACTCCATTCACTTGTTCTATCCGAACACACAGCCAGGGAAATGGAAGATTGAGACTCTCGGTTCAACACATGAGTTACCATAAACCAGTTTAAAAACTGGAGAATTAATACAACGCTAAGGACATGCATGAAACTGCTTGTATGCACTGCCACCTTTGTCCATGGGACTGATCATACGCACAACCATTTAAGAGGATCAAGCTTCAAAAAGCCAACCAACCAAAAAAAAAAACCCACAACCAAAAACCCCTACCCCAGACAGGCCAAAAAAACCTCTACAGAAAAAGCAACAACCAACCATATTCAGGACAGAGACTGAGCACTTGTACTTCTTCCCTCCAAAGAACTCCATACTCTAGAGGGACATTACAGTGTACAGTCTGGATGAATTTTCTTGGAGGAAAAGAGGAACTCCATTTTCACAAAAAAGTTATATTCCTGCTATTCGAGAATAACAAAGACACACTACTGAGTCCTAGTTTCTGCAGAGAAACTTAATACACGCATTCAATTCCTCTCCCCACCATTCCACTCTCTAAGAATTGAAGTGCTTAAGCAAGAGTTTCATGTGAACTTCACAACATTGCCTTTAAATCCTACATTTGACAACAAAATTATGCATTACAAATCCATGAAGTCAACCTACAACAACAAAAATCGCTTCCCAAAATAGAACATGCAAAGCACCTACCTCCAATCACATACTATCGAAAAGTCAAATGAAGCAGAAGTAAATGTGTACTCACCATAAGGATTACATTCAGAGTCCTCCAATTCTTTATCCCAGTCTTCCACCTCGTACACAGAAGCATTCTGCAGCTCTGGAAAAGTTATAGCCTCAGGCATACTGGAGACTTCACCACCCATGTCTTCCAGGTCAGGACGTACGTGAACACAGTCAACAGGAGAGCCACTGACATCATTTTCATTGTGAGAGATATCAGAGAATCCACTTTCTTCAGACTCGCTATCAAGAACATTTGGAATATTCTTCAGCAAACATTCTAAAACCAATAGAAAGAGACAACAGAGATGCTTAGGAATTAAACAGGAACAATTAAATGCTTAGCATGCAATAATTCAGACAGGTATATGAACGCACTTCGTGACTACTAATCTTATCATAATATATGCAATTTCTTACATATGTAATATCACTAGAGTGCTGCTTCAGGTTTCAGATGCTTGGGAACATCAGACACAGGCTTGCATCACAACACTAGCCCAAGTCAGGATTTTCAACAAGCTCTTGTTGGAAAATAACTCTTTAAACTAGGACAAAGGACCCAGCAGCCTTGTTTCACCACATTCACCTGTTGGCATTTTTTAAAATAGGTATGTTGAAAAAACACAGCTCTAGTTTAAAAAAAAAAAAATTTGTAGCATTGATTAATTACTCTTGCACCTCGGCATACACAAATACCTACACAGAAATAATTTAGTGCAGTAACTGAAGAGGCATATCCCATGCATCACCAAAGAGTTTAAGTATTATTTCCTCAAGGAGAGTGTGAGTTGTATTACTCACTGTCTGCTTTGTTTTGTCCCAATATTTTAGGCTTACCTTTTCTGGGCTTCCAGGTCATAGTTTCCCTCTCATTAGGAAGCTGCTCCTCCTCAAAGCTTGCAGACTCAATGGCAGCTGCCATCACCTACAAGACAGTTTTAAAGAATCCAGTAGCACTTTCCACTGATCCCTCCAGTAAGTCTCATGCAACTTCTACTGCATTTGAGTGTTTCTGAGCCCTTCAGCATGACCTGTTTGTTTGTTTCCTTGATGAATCAGAGGTTTTAAACCAGACGAGCTTTCACTTCAGAAAGCAAATCTGCTGAGGGATGGCTCATCCTGCTGCTGCCATCAGTCACACCAGGCAGCAGCCAACACAGAACTGCCAGTCTTCTCAGTCACACCCATAATCCTGCTGCCATGCTGAGTTTTGGGAACAGGTCCCAAAACCGACCCAAAACACACCCGTTTGGGAACAGTAGCAGACTGTGAAAGCTGCGGAGGTAATTGAAGACACGAGGAGTGGAATGAGTACAAGCACTAAAGACTATGAACCAACCACCTTGTGGGAACCGACATGCCAAGGAGATGGGACAGGGCCAGACCCACCAGCAGCCCTGAGGGGCTGGGAAAAGATGGTGGATGCGCACTTGGAGAATGGAAGGTAACACCTCAACTGGTTTCGTGGTCCCCAAGAGAGGAAAGAAAGAGTGAGTTATCCCTGCTACTTCCACTACCACAAAGATGAACTCGCTAAAGGACAGCCCATGGCGGCGGGTGCGGGAAGCCGGGCCCGCAGGTGCTCAAAGAGCCGAGTCTGGGACGCCTGCGGCCGGGAGGGGCCTGACAGGGGCCGCGACCACCGAACAAGGGCAGAGCACCGCATACTTCGGGCAAGCCCGCTG